GACTGAATTCTTAAATTGTGAACCAGGGTCTGAATTTTCACTTTGTACATAAATTAGGTATCTGTCCTCTATGAGGCAATGTAAGCTGCAGACAGAAAGAACAAGTACAAAGTTCATGAGGCAAGCAGGTATTGGCATCTGAGAGCCTGACATAGACATAGTCTCCTTCAAATTCTGCCCTTTGTGATTTTGCCCCTTTCCCCCGCCCACTGTGGTCCTGGCCCTTGGAGAGCTGATGCAGGAGAAAAGGGTGAGGTTCCAAATCCAGGAACAGTCTGGAAGTGTTTCTCAAGGTGCATGAAGTCCCAGAGTGAGTTGTCTTCTTTGGGACAGGACCCAGAGTCTCACCAACCGCTCCAGCAAGGATTGTCCCTGGGACATTCACTATCTGTATTTCTAGTCTGTTCCTAAGCCAAGGCCCAGCAGTTTCCACAGATTTACAAAGAGCCCCAAGGCAGCAAAGCAAAGGTTGCCTGGTACACACATGGGGTGGCACCAGATCAGTATGCATGGTGCCATCCACAGCTACTGAGGCTGAAATTTGAGGTAGACCCAGAGGTATGACCTAGGTACTCTTATATCTGCCAGTGTGAGATCACCATCTCCAAAGTCTCATCTTAGGCCATCTCCACTGGCCAGTTGCTTATTACGACTCCCTTTGAGCCCAGGACATCCCAAGACACCTGCAGCTGAGGCCTTATGGCCCTTGGTGACAGCTTTTCAGGCTGGCTGTTTCCTGTGGCCCATGCCTGATCCAGGTTGGGAAATAATGCAGCCATGGCCTGCCTCTGTGGGAATGCTGCTCCTTCCTCACAGCCCCCTGCACTGTAGCCTCAATGGATGGCACCCAGGCTTTTCTCCAAGGGAACTTCAGGCAAGAGTCAGACGCGTAGCTACGAGGTCCAGAGAATATCCGATCTCCTTGAAGCATCCCTGACCCTGCCCTACTCTTTCCAAAAAGAACCTGCTTTCTAATCCCTCCCCTCAGGCCCACACTGCCCTCAGGATAAAGCCCCACTCCTACTGTCTGACACGGCCTGTATCACTGAGTCCTCTCTGTCCCTGCTCCTCAACACGACGGCTCATTTCCTAAACTTACGACACCTCTGCATACTGCTTCTTCTGCCAGGAAAGTGACCTTCCTCATCTTTGAGACTCATCCCAGAGGCCTAATGGCCATGAATCTCTCTCAGAAATGGGTCGTACTGCCCCATGCATGGTTGAGACTGTAGCCCTAAGCCAAACGCCCTGCAGTTGAACCCTGGCTTTGCTGTGTGTATGAGGTAGAGAGATCTCAACTATGTTGCCTAAGAAATCACCTCAAAATTCTGGGCTTATAACAGCATGTCTTTATTGCCCCCACTTGTTTTCCACAGCGGGGTGGCACAGGGAAATAAAAGAAGAGGTAATACATGGCATTTATTGAGCAGTGTCAGAATGATAGGATCTGTGAGCACTCACATGTGTTATCTCACTCCTCACACCAACCATTAGGACTGGGTATGATGATCCTGTTTTGTCACTTTTATTTTAAAGAGAATAAAGCTAATCAAAATAAAACAGAATAAAGCCAATCAAAACAAAACAGTGTAAGTGATACAGGACTTCAAAGCAAGATAATAGGAAATCAACAATGGTTAGCATGATGCTTCTTGTCTTCAAAATAGCTGCCCAGACCTTCAGACATAAGAAAAATCAAACAAAACAGGAAAGAATAGAACCAATAAAAACAAAACAATGAATACAATAAAGGACTTCAAAACAAGATAATAGTAAATACAAAATGGTTACCATAATATATCTTGTTATCTTTGAAATAGCTGCCCATGCCATTGGATATAATAAAATCAAACAAAACAAAACAGAACAAAACCCAACCCAACAAACAGTGGAAATGATACAGGACTTCAAGACAAGATAATAGGGAATTACAATGGCTACCACCTTCAGAAGGAGATCCTCCATATATGCTCCACTGCATACTGTTATCCTCTGAATATATGATCAGACTATCAGCTTTAGGCCTGCAAAGTCAGTGAAACACTAAACACTACAAGCATTAAATTGTATTTTACCTCAATAGCTATCAACACAGCCTGTTGAAAGAAGCCTGTGCTTCTCCAGACCAGCCAGTCACTTTGGAGGGGGTAATCTTGGCTCTTGTCTCCCAGTCCATGTGCAGGAAAAGGCTGGCTTGTGGATCTCCCCACATTGGCCTATGCTTGGTGCTGACTCAAAAGGAGGGCTTGGCTTCTTGCTGGCTTCTTGTTCCTCTTCCCTACAGTCCACAAATTGCACCAACTCATGGGAAAGGCTGGGGTCTGGATCTCCCCACAGTGGCCTCACATGGTGCCCTATGATCCTGTTTTTGAGGTGAGGAGTCTGATGTCCAGAGAGGTTATGCGACTTGCCCAAGGTAACACAGTTGATGAGTGGGAGAGCTAAATAAGAGCTGAACCCAAGCAGAAAACATACATTCATGTGCTTCACTGCTCTGCTGCCTCCAGTGAATGGACGACCTGGGTTTGTGCTGGGGACAGCTCACACACCCCATATAGAGTTTACCGAATCCCTTCCTGAGGGGGCCCAGCTCAGAGTGGGCTTCTGAGGCCTCCTGACTTATTTCAGGTACTTGAATTAAGCCTGGCCAGGAATCCAGGCTTGCTGGAGACCCTACTGCTCTGAAGGCTGAGCCTAGGATCTGGGTGGCAGCTGGATGATACGCGGTTACCCAAGAGGTTCCTCTGCCATGGTTCTGCGCTCAAGGGTTAATGAGGGAAGTTCATGGAGCTTCAGGTTATCAGCCTTACCCAGGCACCCAGACTGAGCCAGGGGAGGGCAGGTAAGGGAAGTTGTCCCCTGGGCTGTTCTCAACCTGCCTGGGTGAAGAAAAGAGCTGGTGCGAGCCTGGCAGAGAAGGTTATGCTCCTGCTTTACCAGTCACTCCTTGATGCCAGCCCTGTGCAGCAGATAAGAGCTGGGCTTGTTTCCAGGCTGGTCACGAGCCAGCCAGGTGGCTTTGCCCAATGTCCTCCCAAGCCCGCTTCCTCATCCACAGACTGAGATAACGACAGAACATCCTCATGGACCTATAGCACACAGGAGGGAATTTGCATGGCGCTTGACAGACAGCAAGTGCTCTGTCACTGATCACTGCCTTACTTGGATTAATCATTCAGCTCTAGTAGACACAGCCAAGTGTCATGGTTAAGTGACTTTTCTCCTAACAGCACACCTCCTGGTCCACTTCTCAGAGCCTAAATACGTCTATAACTGCCTGACCTGGGATATAGTATTTCTTCTCTTTCAGCCTCAGTTTTTCTATCCATAAAATGGGGGTTGTCACACTTGCTTCAGAAGACTGCATGAGGTTTAAATCAGGTAATATAAAAGTCCCTTGTCACCACTCTGAGTATGAGTTTCCTAATTTGTAAATACCTGCCTCCTAAAGTTTTCTGGATTAAGAGGAGCAGTCACAGCATCCATCGGGCACACTACTTGGCACACGACAAGAGCTCACTAAACTTGCTTGAAAACCAGTCCAGCCAGCGATATGTTTCAGAGATGGAAGCTGTTGTAGTCAGCGGATTGCAAGAAGAAGATAATACAGGATACATAATTTATAGTATTACTTTATGATAGTCACCCAGGGTCAAAATACAAGAAATGCAGGAAATTTGTCCACGCACTTAGAGAATCCAGTAGAGGGCCTGCGTGAGTTCAGCTGAAGACCTAGAGCCCATGACAGTGCCTCCCACGAGTCCAGTTGGAAGGCAAGAGCTCAGGACAAGGACTCACGCAAGTCTGCTTCATGAATGTGCACTGGGAAGTGGTGGAATCTAGAAAGTCTATACCAGTGGCATGATGGATCTGTGCCAGTAGGCTGAGGGTTCTGTACCAGAGCCAGGAAGCAATGCTCAAAGTAAAGACCATGGCTTCTCTGAAAAGTACCACAGCTATCCTCAGCGTCAGTGAGGTCCTAAGCTCCTCTGATGATAAGAACAGCCAAGTTCATATCAGGAAGCCAGTGTGACAGGCTTCTCCTGGAGACTGAACAGCACACCATCATCCCCTCTAGAACCAGGAAACAATGTTCAAACTAAGGACCAGAGCTCCCCCAAAGTGAACGGCTGCCATTCCCAGCAACAAGGTCTCAAGCTCCTCTGAAGATGAGAACGACCAAGTTCATATCAGGAAAGAAGCCTGACAAGCTCCCCAGGAGAACCCAGGGAAACAGGAGAACCAACAGCATCAAACAACAATCTTCCTCTCCAGATCTGCTTTTTAGGCTGGCGACAATCTCAGGTGGGCCATCTACACTAGCATCGTGCCGATCCAGCTCAGGTGGTGTTTTAAGTTGACCACCAGTTTTCAGTCCACCACAGAAGCCAAATCCAAGCCAGCTTTCGGGTTGTTAGTTTTTGGAGGTTCTTTTTGTGTGTTAGGAATCAAACTCAGGACCTTGCACTTGCCAAGGCCTCAGCCCTGCTGCTGAACTTGAATGTTTTAATATAGATCCAGACCACTCACTGGCCAGGAGGCTGCCTGAGGAGAGGACTTTCGACTGGAACTTCTATAAATCAGGGTGCCCAGGGTTTGGTGCAGCCACCCCAAGCAGCGAAATGAAGTGGAGGAAAGGTCACGTTTGAACCACAGTATGGGGGTGGGGTGCTGAGCTGGGCTGAGCCCAGGACTCTAGAAAGGTCATTGGCCAGTCTCCTGCTACCACTGTTCCCCGACATCCCGAGGTCGCCCAGAAATTGCAGCCTGAGGTTCTCACCATCCCGAACTGGGAAAAACTGGGCTGGAGCCTCCGCAGCGGCCCGAGAGCGGCGGAGCCTGGACAAGCCTTGTGCTCTCGGGGCCTCCCCCACTGCAGCCCGACAGCGGGAAGTCCCAAGGCGCAGCCGGGCCGGCGCGCGAACCCTTCATCCTGCGGGACGCTGCGTGCGGCGCCGGGTCAGGTGGGGCGCCGGGTGCCGGGCGCAGGGCGCAGGGCGCGGGCTGGCGCGGCCCGCGGAGGCGGCTTCGGCCCTCCGCCCTCCCGGCTCGGGGCGGGGCTGTCGCCGGGCCGCCCCTTTATCTGCGGCCAGGAGGCCCCGGTCGCCACAGCTGGCTCCCAGCGGTGTGTGAGGTGCAGGTGAGCCGGGGCTGCGGAGCGGAGGCCGGGGGCGGGCTGGGGGCGGCGGGGTCTTCCCGGAGCGGCGGCTGTGCCGGCTCCGCTCGCGCTGGTGCGGCTCGCGCGTGGTGCCGAGCTGCGGAAGTGGGGCGAGGCCTAGGACGGGCAGCGCAGCCGCCCGGGGAGCACCTATGTGGGGCGGGACGGAGAAACAGCTCGGAGGGGGCAAAGGAAGGGCAGAGCTGGGGGCATCTGGGGATGGTGAGAGGAGGCGGCGGTGACGGATGGGGATCCCCATCTGCCCCGCCGGGAGCAGGAGGATGCCTTTGGAGGAGAGAAGGAGGAAGGGCAAAGAGGGATGGAGGAGGGAAGAACATCCCTGAGCAATTCGGACAGTGGGCTGGTCCAGGGGTGGGGGCCCTAGGGACCCACAGCGGGGGCTTCTCCTTCCTGGAGAAGAAGTCTAGGTGACACTGGGCCAAGAACAGTGTGAGTGGTCCCAGCTTGGGGAATCAAAACCAAAGAAATAGGCTGCTGAGAGCCCAAGAGGGGTTGACACCACAGGCTCCTGCGGCTTTCCTGGGATGTGGGTGACTCATCTGATGTCCATCTGGTGTCGAAAGAGCTTGATCTCCTCAGAGTGAGGGAAGGGCCCAAAGGGCCCTCCCGCAAGCATTCCCAGCACTGGCCATAAGCCTGTGGGTTTAAAGACCCTGGTAATGGGGGCGCACCTGGAGCCTGTGGATCTACCTCAGGCCAAGACCTTAGAGTGTGATGGATTTTTAGAGCCTGGCTACACTGTTGGAGTGCCCAGAACCCCGACCTGGAGCTCCTGTCCTGTAGGGCCCAGTCTCCCATCATGGGGCTTGTGCTGCCTTGGGAGAGGCTGCCCTTCTCTGGGCTCTGTTTCCCTGCCCAGAGGCCCCTTGCTGGTCAGCAGTGCAACTCAGGTCCCATGCTCTGTGTTCTGTGCTGGGTGACCTGTGGCCAGGCTGCCAGACTTCTCTGGTCTGTTTTCCCCTGTATGGTCCCTCTTTGAGGGCAGTTGTGAGTGTGGGCTCTGCAGAAGAATTTCCTTAAGAATTACATTTTTCATTCTGTTGACATTTCGGAGTACAAGTGGAGGAGTACAAATGCACTTACAAACAAACAAAAAGAGTTTCTGTTCAGTCTTGGAAGACATAGAGGGGCTTTTTCTTAAGACAAAGGCTGGCCTAGCTGGGGAATTGGTTTGCCATGAGGAAGGTGACCCAGTTGCTGTAAATTGGGGAGACCAGCCAAGTAGGAACATTCTGCTTGTCCAATCTTTGTCCACTGCTGGGTGCCTGGGAGGTGACTCCTCAGGCGTGGGATGGTGGTGAAGAGCAGGAGCTGTTTTCAGAGTCCAACAGACCATCCTGACTCCAGGGCAGGAGTACAGCTTAGCCTTGACTTTGAAAGTTGTGAGAGAAAGGGGACCTGTGTGTGACTGTTCTTGGGAATCAGCAAGCCACTGGTAGATTCATGTTTGTGTCTAATAGTAATAGTTCAGGGTCTGCCATACTGTGTCATCCTCAACAGGACCTTTGAGGAGGGTTTGCTTCTGACAGCCCCCATATTAATGCTGGCCTGGCCTTAATGTTATTATTGTTCTGTTTCACTTTTTTGAGGCTGAGCTTTCCTGTGTTGCCTAGGCTGGCCTTGAATTGCTAGGCTCTAGTGATGTTCCTCTCTCAGCCTCCTGAGTAGCTGAGGCATAGGCATTCACTATAGTGCCTGGTTTTATTATTTTTAACTGGTACATAAAAACATGAAATTATGCATATTAATGGGATACCATGTAATGTTTTCATACATTTAAGCTTTGTGTGTGTGTGTGTCTGTGTGTGCATGCACGTGTGCCGCCTTATTTTTATCTAATGGGTTAGACTTTGTCCTGTGTGGCATGACATAATCTTTAAGAGAAAAATGCTGAACAATCAGAGCCCAGAAAAATAACAATGACTATTTTTCATGCCAGGAGGAGACAAAAGAAGAAATGGAATTATAACCAAATAATGCTGATAATAGAGGTTATTTAGATAGGGTATGAATTCCAGAAGAGACAGTATTCATACCACTGTTTTTGCTAGTGGCCCTGAAGTCTTGCCATTAATCCCAGCTTTCTGGGTTTAGTTTTGCTAGGGCAGTATTTTAAGCTTCTCTGTTCACTTTTGAAGCTCTAGCTCCTAGAGCATGGTAGGGTTAAGATCATTATTGCTGGAATGTCACAGAGCTTCAGGGGCCTTTAGCAGTCATTGGTGAAATCACTCTCTCCCTTGACATTTGGAGAAATAGGATCAAGAGGAGGAAGGGACTTGTCCAAATCACTCACGGACTGAGTGGCTAAGGCAGGAGGAGCCCAACAAAACGAGTAGAGCCAGCTCTATGCCAGCCAGCTCTAAGCATCCATCGCTTGGTTTTGTTTTCACAAGAACCCAAGAGGTAGCTCTTTTTATGATTATAACAGGAATCGAGCTCAGAGAGATTAAAAGCTTTTGCACAATTACCTAGCAGGAGAAGAAGGGGTTGCTCCCACCAGAACCCTAGAGGTCTTCATCTTGAGGTCTGGCCAGACTGAAAGCCTTCTAGACATCCTCCACGATATGCCTCTGTCACCAATCATTTGAGGCTTCTTTTGCTTAATTCGAATGCAAATCTTAAACTGGCAAAGTGCATTTTTGCTAGGGCCTGATGACATCAGTTGACACCAGTTAATGGCAGGTGCCACCAATCGACGTTGCTGGTAGCTAGTCTCTGCTGTAAATCTTCACTGGCTGCCACTCACTGGAACTCTCCAAAGGTAACAACCCTGAGTGTTTATTACTCTTTGTTTTAAAGTAATTACTGTGCCCACACTACTCATGATAAGAATCCAGAACAGATTTATAGGACCTTCCAAGCCCACACTGCCCAAGATAAAAATCATGAGCAGATTTATAGACCTACCAGAGCAAGGCTTTATTTGAACCTGTGCTACAGAATGGACAGTCAGTACAATACAGGGGGCCTTCCCAGACTAATTGCAGGACTGTGGGAGGAGCACTGCTTAGGTGGCCCCAGAAGGCTTGTGACTGGTGTAAACTTGAGCCTGCTGATTGATCCAAACTGGTCGAAACCCAGGCCTTGGAATCTGAGCCTATTGAGTGGTCCATGTTCAGTTCTACTTGTTGGTTTAAATCTGAGCCTGCTGCCATTAGGGTAGGCATGAAAAATGGTGGGGCTGAGACTGCGGGATCTTCAGAGGGGCTAGGTGCCTTAATCACAACTTACTGAGGATTGGGGAAAGTTGGGGATGTTAATAATGGGCCTGGATCCCTGACAAATTGATGTTGTGTTAGGGTTTTTCCCTGCCACTTTTTCAGAGCAGAGGGCATGAGGGAGGAGCACCATGGATGACAGCAGAGCTGTACCTCCTGTCAGAGTGGCCCGGGCAGAGCCTGATAGGTGGCAGGAGGACTCTGAAGCAAGCTCAGTCCCTTCTCAGGACTATGAGGGAGTGGAGGGAAGGGAAACAGAGGGGCATGATAGCCCTTGGCCAAGCCATGTGCTCCTCCAGCCTTCGCAGGACGAGGGAGAGTCGTGTGCTTCTTGTCCGTCTCCCCCAGGCTGGGCCACATGCATTTCATTCTGCCCACTGACATGGTTTATCCTCTGTGGCCTCACACCCTGGGACAGGGCCTCTGGGGTTGCAGGAGTTGAGGTCCTTCCCACTTCCCAGACACTTCCCTTGCATCTGTGAGCAAATACCAGTTTCAAGCCTCTGTGAATCCCACAGGAGTTCCTCTGAATGGGCTTTTCTGAGTACCATTTAATTATTAAATAAGGTCAGTGTCCTCAGAGGTCCAAACTCCAGCCAAGTTTTCCTGGCCTCTAACGTCAGGGATAAAGTAAATGTTTAAGAAGACACCGTGGCCAATCTGATGGCACTAGCTTTTGAGGGTTAAAGGAGGACTGAGGCTTTTGGAAAACCCTGAAGAAATCTCTTAGGCTGGGGATATTTCAAATATTACTATTAGTATTCATAATAGTAATGGCAGTCATATACTGAGTCTCTAAACTGTGCTTAAACTTAGTTCTAATAAATCTAATTTTTGCAGCAATCTAAGAGGTAGATAATATTGAAATCTCCATAAGGGAGCTAAGGGTTAGAGAAGGTGAGTCAGTTGTCTAAGGTCACACAGTGCTGTGTTATGTAATCTGGTACTAAACCTGGTCATCTGAATCTGAAGTTCATCTCCTCCCTCAGGAGCTTTTATATATCAGCTTTCTCCTTTATTCTTATCTTCCTTCCATTCTGATTCCTACTAAGTAGGCACTATAAATCGTCCAAGTTCACCTGACATCCACCAGCTAGACCCTGAACACTTGTTCCAACCCAGTTTTGTTCTTTCCATACTGTGTGACCTCAGACAAATGACTTTTCCACCAGCCCTTGGCTTTTCTGCATGTCTCATGCAGAAGTTAATGGTGAGCTGAGGCCTAGCCAGGAGGGTGCTGTGTGGGAGTCCTGAAGGGAGGGGAGAGGTGTGAGAGGTTGTCTTTAGCCTCACCCTCTGGCGACATCATACAAGACATTGCTATCCCTAAAAGCCCTACTCTAGAGCCCCTCATCTGTGGAAGTGCCACCCAGTGCTTGGGATCTGGTCACTTTGTCTGGGTCTACAGCAGAATTCATCAGCCTCCAGGTAAGAGAAACACCCCCAGGTATGCAGAGCAGCCTGAGAGGCCTGGAGGAGCCTGTGAAGGTATAGTATGCTGGGCTGAGCTGTCTGGAAAGGGCAGCTCAGTGGGCAGGCTGTTCAGGATGCCAGGATAGTCCCTGCCAGGCATCCGCCCACTTCCTCCTAGTTCATGACCAATCCCTGCTCCTGTTCCTGCTCCCTCCTTCCATTCAGGATCTCTTTTCATGAATTAAGGGGATGAGAACTAATTCTGAAAATACGGAATAGAGTCTGCAGTATAAAGGAAATAAGGCTGGGCATGGTGGTGCATGCTTGTAATCCCAGCATTTGGGAGGCTGAGGCAGGAAGATGGCCATGAGTTCAAGGTCAGCCTGGGCTACAAAGTGAGTTCAAGACCAGCCTGAACTGCATAGTGAAACCTTGCCTCAAAAAAAAAAAAAAAAAAAAAAAGGAACAGGGCAGTAAGACCTCTGTTACCCTGACATGTTGCTTCTGGGTCTGTGTTTGAGGCCTGCTGTATCAGTGGTGAGCAGTGTGAGTCCGGTAGAGGTGGCCATGACCCGGGACTTCCCTGGTGCACAGCAAGGGCAGAACTGGACCTGAGAAAATCTGAGCTGCTGGAACCCAAAGGAAATAGTTGATAGGAGAGGACGTGGTTGCCAGCTTCAGATCAGTGCTTTCCAAAGGTGTCCGATGGGATGCAGGAGGCAGGGCAGCAGCAGAGTGGCTGTGAGCATCTGTATTCTGCACGCAGAGGGCTGGATCTAGATCTGGTTCTAGAACACCCTCTCTTTCTCTCTCTGTGACCTTGGATAAACATCTTTTTTATTTCTCTGCAATAAAATAGGCATAATAATGCCTCCCCCCAGAGAGGTTTTGAAAACCACAAAAAGACTATAAAAAATGAGCACAGCTGGTTGTGGTTGTACATACCGGTATTCCCAGACCTCTGGGAGCCTGAGGCAGGACAGCAAGTCTCTGTGAGTCCAGTGACTTAGGTGAGATCCTGTCTCCAGGTAAAAAATAAAACAGAGCTAGAGCTGTAGCTCACTGGAAAGGCCCTGAGCTCAACCCCAAGCACTACAACAAGAAAAAAAAAAAAAAAGCCAATACAAAAAATAAACAACACATTTTGGCTTACTTTATAATGCAGTTGTTACTGGGATACAAATTCTTGATCATGTAAGCTGAGCATACAAATAGGATCAACAAAAGTAAGTAAAGTTCTTTATTGTAGGACTTCTCAGAGCCTTTAATGTGATGTTATGCCTTGGGAATTTCCCAGAGTAGAATACAGAGCATAGGACTATATTTAACAGATTATAGAGGCCTAGGTGTCCTAGGTCCTGGATGCCCACTTGGCACCATGAAGCCTCATATTCCCTGGTTCTTCTCTCTGGCAGAATGAAGACTTTTCCAGATCGGACCACTCTGGGAAAGCCTCTGTGTCTCCAAGCTCTGATTTCCTCATAAAACAAGTCACCTGCATGAGATGCTTTCAGAGGTCTTCTCTGTCCCTGAGGTTCCAAGTTAGGAAGACACCGTTGTGGATCCAGATGGAGGCCAGATTCCTGAGGCTGGAGATCAGCCTCTAGGGGAGAGGAGATTGCCTGACCCAGGCTTCCCCACTCAGGTGGCCAGGGAGGTTCCTGTGCTCAGGGAAGAAGTGGACTTAGTCCATTCATAGGGGCTTCTTTCTAAACCTGGGACTCTCTGGAGTGGCAGAGCAGAAGAGTTCTCCAGGGCTCTGTGATAAATGGCAGCGCTTGCACAGTGGTGTGATGGTCGATTTAACTCCGGCCTCCCCACTCACTGGGCTAGGAGAGGCCAGGCCAGAGTTGACTCCAAGATCCTCATGCAGGAGCCAGTGAGGCCAGGCCTTAGTTCCATGCCGCCTCTGGATAGCAAATGCCTTCCATGGCTCAGACTGTGTGTGAATGATTTAGCTGGCTATAGGGGTGATTGCAGTGCTGCTGGTGGCAGAGACTAGGGATTCTTTATCCTGTCCATTCTGAGGCTGGAACAAAGGTGGCCAGAAAACCTAGAGGCTGAGTCCAGACAGCTAATGGGGCGAGGGGCCGGAGCCAGGTTATCAGGTAGGTTTTTTAGTAGATGCTTGAATTCATGAGTTAAGCAACAGGTACCAGGCAGGACAGTTTGTCATTAGGTGATGACTGACAGCATTTGCCACCTTGTCCTGCAAAGGGCAGCTTAATGCAGTGATCAGGAGCACAGTTTGGGTTCAGCACATGTCTCTCCACTTCCTGGTGAGGTGGGTGGGCGAGGTACTTAACATCTCTGTGCCTCAGTTTATCTGGCAGGTGGGAACAATGCTAGTATCTGTGTCACAGGACTGACATGAAGCTTATATGAGTCACTTATATATAAAACTATCAGGGGCTGATCAATCACCCAATCACCTGGCCGAGAGTATTACAAAGGATAAAAGAGACAGAGGCAATAATTTAGAATACAAAGGGGGTCCAAAGGGTCAGAGCATTTATCAGGCTAAGACCAAAAATCTCTGAACTCTTCACACTTTATTGAATGCAGACAGCTTATCTAGGGAGCATATAGGGAGAGCCTGAGAACAGAGAGTGGAGGACACTGACGTGAACAAAGTCTGGTAAGAAACCAAGCATTATGCCATTGGAGCTGGGGATTTAGCTCAGTGGCATAAGCGCCTGCCTTGCAAGCAGGCAGTCATGAGTTCGATCCCTGGTACCGATAAATAGGAAAAAGACAAAAAAAAAAGAAACCAAGCATTATGCCATTGAGTAATGGGAAACTTATTTTACCCTTGGGTATTTACTTCTATAGGATTTTGTTCCAGAGCCAGAGTCCTCAGCTGAAACACCGTCTTGCCTCCTGAGATGTCACAGTGTCTGGGTCATAGAGACCCCTACTGAGACCAGTGTCCAGTGAGAGTTCTGTTACTTCATGCCAACTGCAGGCTTGTCAGGCAAGGCACAATGTGGGCCAAGTACAGATCCAGACTCTTAATATAGAAAGCCAGCTTATGGATTCCAGGATGGTCTCCATCAATAACACGCTTAACATGGTACCTGGCAGAGTGATGCTGGCCAGAACATTTGCAGCTATTCATTTGCCTGCCTCTAATAGACCGTGGTGTTTCCAAGTGCAGGGACGGGATCCTCTCCTCTGCACCCTCTCAGATCTGGCACAGGCTGTGAGGCAAAGCTGGCTCACTGTCTGCTCAATGAATGATTATATGAAAGGATGGGTTTTTTTCTCTGCTTTTTTCCTGCAGGTTTGGGATGGATCCCAGGGGCCTCGCACACACACATGCAAGTGCTCTACCTCTGAACTAGATCCTTAGCCAGCTTTATTTTGAGATGAGGTCTTGCTAGGTTGTCCAGTCTGGCCTTGATCATTAGTATTCCTGCCTTGGCCTCCTGGGTAGCTGTAGTACAGGAAAGTGTGGAGGGTACAGTGAAAGGAAGTTGGCCCAGCGTCTAATGAGAATAGGTGCAGTCTTGAGGGCTTTGAGTGTTCTGATGAGGGGTTAGATTCAATTTATTTGGAATTAGCAACTGTGAGCAGTAGGAGGAGAGGCTGTAAAGTGGGGGTGTCATTGAGGGATGGAACTATTTTAATAGGATTGGTTGGTACCTGAGGACTTGCAGGGAAAAAGTCACTTTCTGAGCTGGGCCTTGAAGGATATGAAATGTGCTACTACATTTTTCTTTAGTTCAGCAAATACTGTGTACCAGCTGCTTGCTAAGTACCAGGGGTCACAAAATAGTGAGACGAACTTCCTACTCTAAGGATTTTAATGGTCATAAAGAGTTTTATACCACAGGCTGGTCTGATGGTAGCACTCAAGTAGATAAGTTGGGAGTCGGAAATCATCTCAGAATGTGGATTCTGAGTGATGAATAGTTTTTTGGGTAGGCAAGATGAGGAAAGCATCTCGGGCAAAGGGAACACCTTGTGCAAAGCTACAGACACGTGAAGCAGCAGCTGGAGTTTTGGTGAGGCTGTGACTGGATTCGAGTGCATGGTGCTTGAGCAGTAAAGCTGCAAAGGAAGCAGGGACAGGAATGTATGTGGTAACAAACTCAGTGGGAGCCCCTGGCAACTCTGAAGAGGCTATAGATAGAAAAGGTGGGTTTGTTAGGATCATTGTCACCACCAGGTTAACCATGATGGTGGCAGAAATTTAGAGGATTAAAGGGCCTGTCCCATGTCATGACAGGTATGCAGAGGAGGAAGTGAGACCCGAGGCCTGCGGCTCCCACTGCTGCTGCGGAGGACACGGACACCAGGCGTCTACATTTGCTCTGGCTTCTTTCCCAGCTCCCCGTCCAGTCTTCCAGCCATGGCCATGGCAGCAGCCCAGAAGTTCAGCCACCTACTGTCCAGCCTGTGGCACATTGGCCCCAGGCAGCCCGAGCCCGTTTTCACAGTGGACCGAGCCCAGGTGCCGCCCCTCTTCTGGAAGCCATACATCTACGCCGGCTACCGGCCGCTGCATCAGACCTGGAGCTTCTACTTCCGCACGCTGTTCCAGCAGCACAATGAGGCAGTGAACGTCTGGACCCACCTGCTGGCCGCCCTGGCGCTGCTGCTGCGGCTGGCCGTCTTTGTGAGGACCGTGGACTACTGGGGAGACCCGCATGCCCTACCCCTCTTCATCATCGTGCTCACCTCCTTCAGCTATCTCTCCTTCAGCTCTCTGGCACACCTCCTGCAGGCCAAGTCCGAGTTCTGGCATTACAGCTTCTTCTTTTTGGACTATGTGGGTGTGGCCATGTACCAGTTTGGCAGTGCCCTTGTGCACTTCTACTATGCTATCGAGCCTGCCTGGCACGCCCAAGTGCAGGCCATTTTCCTGCCCACAGCTGCTTTTCTTGCCTGGCTTTCCTGCACTGGCTCCTGCTACACCAAATACAGTCAGCAGCCAGGTTTGCTGGGCCGCATTTGCCAGGAGGTGCCCCAGGTGCTGGCCTATGCACTGGACATCAGCCCCGTGGTACACCGCATCCTGGTGTCCCCTCACTCTGCTGAAGATGACCCAGCTCTTCTCTACCACAAATGCCAGGTGGTCTTCTTTCTGCTGGCAGCTGCCTTTTTCTCTACTGTCATGCCTGAACGCTGGTTCCCAGGCAGCTGCCACATCTTTGGGCAGGGCCATCAAGTTTTTCATGTCTTCCTGGTGCTGTGCACCCTGGCTCAGCTGGAAGCTGTGACACTGGATTACGAGGCCCGCCGGCCCATCTATGAGTCTCTGCATGCCTCCTGGCCCCACAATTTTTTTGGCCTGTTTTTGCTTACTGTGGGCAGCAGTTTCCTCACCGCCTTCATTCTCAGCCAGCTGGTGCGGCGCAGGCTCAATCAGAAGACCAAGTGAGGGGGGATGGCAGCTCGTAGGGAGGGGGTTTTAGTAGGGGACAGGGTCAGGGCTTGGCCCCAGATGGGAACAAGGCCTGGAAGTTGTGTCTGACCTACACTGACTCCCTGCACACAGCTCAACTACCAGGGTGGCACTGGGTCAGTACTTTGACTTGGGGACTGATAAGAAGCTGCTAGAGGCAACTTGGGGCCTGCCCAGCTCCTTTCCCTAGAAAAAAAGAGATGAGGTTGGGGGCCGCTGTGGCTTGTCCCTCAGCTGCCTTCTCTTGAGGATGGGGGTCAACTTGGGTCAGGACCCAGGATTGGGGTTTTCAGGTTGCCTGGATAGAGGGTGAAATACATAAGCCAAAGTCAGATTTGAGCTGGAGGAAGGGGAGGCCTCAGCAGGCCTCACTGCACTGGTGGAAGGGAAAAGGCAGGCCCAAACACCTGTAGGTTTCTTGAGCCTGGAGTGCCAAGCTCTAGAGAGCCCATAAAAGTAGATTGTGCCAGACAATCCCATTCAGTGCTCTGTGTCCCTGTAGTCAGCACCCCAGACAGTGAGTGCCCCAGTCTCCTAGCTCTGGTCTGTGTCCAGATTCTTTCCCAGTTTTCTTGTTCGTAATTCAACTATTTGCTCAGTGTTTCCTAGGTCTCTGCTCAGAGGCAGGGCCCTGTGGATCAATGCAGGATGACCAAGCCTTTAATACCAGAATGAAACTGTCAAAGGAAACACTGGGATGGGAATAATCTGTGCTGCCTGGGGCTTGGGGCTGGGAAGAATGAGTAAGGGTTTGCAGACAGATGGGTGTGTCAGATGGTTGCGGGTAAACCTGTACCAAGGCCCAGAGGTACAGAAGTTCAGTGTGGCTGCAGCTAGGGGTGGACTGGTCTGATATGTATTGGATACAATAAAGTGACTGTGGCAAGTGCTGACTCTTTATGTTTCCTGTCCCAGAGAGAGGAACCTACCTATAATATTTGGGGAACTTTCCAGAGGAAGCTGGGGCCCCTTGGGGGTGGACACAGGGTTAGAGAAGAGAGTGATTCCTGTTTTATTTTTGCCTGAGTGTGGGTTTGGGCCCTATTATATTTTACATATGTATAGACAGAAATACACATATATACATAAATATGATTCTTTTTGGTAAGAGAGTAGGGGAGAGATTTAATACTGAAGTTTTAAGAATAGTTACAAGCATAAGTCTAAAGTATATATAATTTGACAAAGATTTCAAGTTTTGGTTTTCCCTTCAATCAGGGAGAATTTTTCTATGTTAACACTTCTGGGTTTTGTTTAGTTTTTGAGTCAGGGTCTTGTTACATATAATCCAGGCTGGTCTTTTTTTTTTTTTTTTTTTTTTGTAGACATAGGCTTACTATGTAGTACAGATTGCCTTGAACTTGCTTATGTAGCCCAAACTGGCCTTGGTGATCACTCCTGGTGATCTTCCTGTCTCAGCCTCCCAACTACTGGAATTACAGGCATGCAACATCACTCTGGGCTCTAATTTTTTGTGTATATTAAAACATACAGTATATTAAAACAAACACATGGGCTGGGGATACAGGGATAGTGTGCTTGCCTAACAAGCGCAAGGCTGAGGAGGTTTCAGCTCCCAGTAACACAACAACACACATTCATCTGGAGATGGCAGTAAAGTCTTTGCATTTCCAAAGGGATTCCAGAATTTACAAAGCACTTTCACAAAGGTTACCTCATTGAGCTTTAAAATTCCAAGACACATAGTAAGTACTTGAAAGTAGGACCGAAGGCCAATTTGTTTAAGCCACAGTCTGCTGGTCTAAACTCTTGGCCTCAAGGATTCTCCTGCCTCAGCTTCCCAAGCAGCTGGGAGAACAGGTGCTCAGTATCACATCCAGTGTAAATCTGGTTGAATTTCAAGTTTTCAAAATCATCTTCCATGTGACTTCGTAGTCTTATTATTGTTTTAATTACGAAAGTAATTAACAAACCCGAGGGTTTTTTTTTTTTTTCTTTTTTATCTGTATCGGGGATCGAACTGATCGACCGCCTGCTTGCAGGGCAGGCGCTTATGCCGCTGAGCTAAACCTCCAGGCCCGCCCCCCCCCGCCCGAGGTTTTTTTTTGTACCGGGGGTCAAACTCACCACCTAGCACTTGCCAGGCTGACGTTTATGCCGCTAAGCTAAATCCCCAATCCCCAGAGTGGTACTGAGGACTCCACTTTGGAGTCGGGAACCTGAATCCTCTGGAAGGCTGCAGTGATACAGAACACCTTGCATCCGAGTTTTTTTTTTTTTAACAATGCAGTTAAGAAAAACGAAAGAAACGGGTATCTCTGGCACGCTGAAAATCCATTCATTCCCACGACAGCGTTGCCAAAACACTTCTGCGGAGTCGGAAAGAACAGGAATCTCCCGCGCCCAAGGATCCGCCGCAGCACTGGGCGGCGCTCCGAGACGGGGCGGGGCATGCGTCTAACGGCGGCGGTGTGGCTCCGCCCCCCGCGTTGGCGCGCGATCCAAAAGTCGGCGCAGGAGGTTGCGTGAGTTTCCAGACGCTTCCCTGTGGTACCCTGAGGCCGGGAGACCTGTACGCTCTGTCTCCTCAGCCGCCATGAAGCGGAGAGGCCCCGAGAAGGACGCGTGCGGCGTGTGGCTGGACACTGAGGCGCTGAAGAGGCGGAAAGTGCAGGTGGGTCTGAATGTGGGGAGACGAGAGGGCTTGGGGAGAGGTTAGGGCCTGGAGGCGCGAGAGGAGAGGAATTTGGGTGTCTGGGTGGAGTACCGGGCGGAGAAAGGAACAGCTCTGGGGACTCAATAGCGAGAGGGGTTGGGGTCTGAAGAAAGTTGAAAAAATGGAATCTGGGGAGGGAGGAGAGATGTAAGCGGAAGGAGGGAGCGGGCTTGCAGGCAGTCGGGAGACGGGGCCGCAGGCTTTCGAGGTGCGGGGAGAAGGTGGAGCAGGTTTGCCGCAGTTGAGCTGAGCACACCCCGCGGGGATGGTAGGTTCCGCTGCGGACGGTACTCCGAAGAGGTTCAGATGTGGGCAGATAGGTGCAAAGGCATATTTAGAAATTCTGACCCCAGGACCTGTTTCTGCCCAGCTTGCCAGCTTACCGGCCATCTATCTGCGAGTGACTTTGGGGAAATAAAAATAGAATATACGGGAAAGGGAGCTGGTCTAACATTCAGGGTCAGGTGGGCGCTAGATTCTGTATTTTAGGTACTTAGTATGCAGTGTGTGTATCGTTACTCTTACTGGCAACGGGGAAACTGAGGTTGAGTAACTATAACTCACCTAAGAGAGGGCGCAAATCTAACTCAGATCTACCACCTAAGCAAAAAGTCTTTAGTTATTCAGAACAAACAAAAGTATTGAACGTTTTATTTTAAGCGTTGTGCTATTTCTCTTGTTAGGCCATTTGGTATAACTCTATGTGGTAGACAGTACAGTGATACTCATATATCAAAAACCTAGGCTCTCTGGCCGATGATATACCTCAGTGGCATAAGCAACTGCCTGGCTAGCTCAAGATCCTGCATTCCATTCCGAGTACCAAAAAAACCCAAACAAAAAACAAAGTAAAAAAAAAAAAAAAAAAAAAAACCACCAAGACTCAGAAGAATGCAAAACGTTGGACTCTTGCTGTTAAGGTGCTTACAGTCTATAGGAGGAAAATGAGTGATATGGAAATATAATACTTAACATGTATTGAATGCTTACTAGGTGTCAGGCATTTTTCTGGGACTCTGCCTGCCTTATGAATAGCAGGTGCTCCTCTGCTATTCTGACTGTTGCAAAGGTTAGTGGTCTTAAATCACTAGAGGCAGGTAAGTGGTTTCAAGGGAAATGAGATTTTGGAGACCAGAAAGATTTCTGTGACTTGGGGTTATGACCTGGATTTAACTGAAGAGGAGTTGAGGTAAGTTGGATAGTTTGATCAAGTCTAACGACCAAGTGGCTAACCTAAATATCTAAACCATGATTGAGAATCTTTCCTGTATTTAGTTACAACCTGCTGAATAAAAATCAAATTGTGGGCCCTTAAAATAAAAAGCATCTTAACCAGGTGTGGTGGCACACAGCTGTAATCCACGCACACCAGGTGGCTGAGGCTGGAGGATCACTTCAATTCCAGCTTGGATAATTTATTAACATTTATTCCATCAGCAGATTCTCTGGACTCTGCTTTAAGTGTATTTATGTTGTGTCTCAGGGTGTGCCTTCCTGCTCTGCTGGAATGAGCATCAGCTGGGATCAGAAACTCAACATCAGTAATAAAGGGACCTAAGTTTGGAATGGAGAACACTATTTGTAAAAAGTATGAGATAGTTATTGTTCTTTCAGAAGAAGAAGAGGAAGAAGATGAAAAAGACAGCTACCTTGTGTGAGATGAGGGAAGGGGGCCCTGGAAGATAGATAACCATTGGCCTTTGTCCTCAGCATTTTTTTTTTTTTTTGTCTTTTTCTTTTTTATCATTACCGGGGATTGAATTTACGACCACACACTTGCATGGCAGGCGCTTATGCCGCTGAGCTAAATCCCCAGCCCCTTCCTCAGCATTTTTTGTACTTTGGAGGACAACTCCCCTTTGTCATTGGTTCTCTGGCCTGTTGGTGGTTGAGTCCAGGGCCAAAAGGACCTTAAACCCCAGTGCCATGGCCTATTGCTTGTGTGCACATTCCTGTGTGGGCTTTTGTTTGTTTTCCCTTGTCTACTTGTCCTTGTCAGGGCTTTCTCTCTGGGATTTATAGGTTGGTTAAAAGGTCCTTCCATACAAGGTCAGTTAGTGATTAAGTAAGGGGATGTGTGTGTATCTAATGCAATAATGTAATGACTGGGAATATATATATATTTTTGTACCCTAGATAAAATGGGTAACACCACCTCCTTTTTTGTCTCCTTAGCATTTATTGAAGGTGGGGAGGGGTGGCTATTTTTAGTGCCCTTAGCTACCTCCCTGCACTGCCTATCACCTTTTCCCCTTTTCTTGTTTGTTGCTCACTGCACTAAAGTTTTGACTTTCCAGTCTGTATTAGCCAGAAAACCTAACAAGGCCCCTATTCTATTTTTACTCTACCTACAAACTCCTTTCTCCTGCATTTGGAATCATTAATTCTCACTACCACCTGAGCCAGAATGATTTTTTGCTCATCCATATTTAATCCTATTTCTCCATTAAAAACCAGAATCTTTATAAGGCTCGTGAACAGCATCTGACCATGCTTGTGTTCTCACATTTTTTAGACCTCATTAATTTGTTTCTTCCGGCTACACCCTGCTCCAACCATACTATCCTCCTTGTTCTTCAAGTGAAATACAGCTGTGGTTGGCATTTTTATATTCCTCTATAGGGATAAGATAGCCACATGACTTATCAATGATTTCTCTGTTAGCTCCCATAAAATAGCAATCCTTCCTTTGTCCTTGTGCCTCGTACTCCCTCACCATCTTTTTTTTTTCCCCCAGACAGAGTTGCCTCTATAGGTCAACGGCAGTCCTGCCTCAGCCTCCCAAGTGCTAGGGGTACAGTGCTGGGCAAGTGCTTTACCATTGGGGTTACAACCCCAGCCTTTGTTTCTAGGTTTTCTTGGTATCACCAGCCCAGCTTTGGAGTTGTCTTTTTAAAAAATAGAAAATTTTATTTTATTTTATAGAAACTGAAAAGGATCGATAAAAGTATTGAAGTCCAAGATGTCAGCTTTAGCCCTCATATAAAAGGCTTTATATTAAAAATTATAAATTGAGCTCTTCTCATACAGAGTTAGGGCTTAGTCCCTTGTGACAGTTTCTAGCTATACCCCAGTTTCTCAATATGATCAATCTGAAAACTGCCTTAAACAACTGCTCCCGAGTAACCACTTTTATCCAACCAGGTTAGCCTGTTGGACCAGTCCTGTTGTCCCTCATACCTCACATGTAATGTGCAGATATGACAACCTCTCAGTCTCTGGAATTCACGCCTGATTGTTTTAGACCTACCAATTAAGACTCCCCGGGAGAAGTCTGTTTGGATAACTCCCTGGACTCACTACTGTACTGTAAAGGCATTAATTCACAAGTCCCTCTTTCTCTTTCTCCATGTATTGACTTCTGTGTTTGTGGTCTCCAACTATGCCACTAGGGCTATTAGGAATTTTAATTTCATTTTATTTCTCCTAATCTTTGGAGAAGTATTCATTGTCTCCCTTTTAAAGCTGAAGATTGAAGTTCAGATGTTTAGAGATTTGCTCAAGATTACATCAGAGCACAGTAAATGCAGCTCTGGGATTTGATTCTAGGTTTCCCCCCCCCCCCCCCCCCCCCCGCACTGAGATCAAACCTGGGGCCTAGTACATGTTAGGCAAGTGCTTTACCACTGGGTTACCAGGTTTTGTGGTAGTTTGTTGTATAGCATTAGAAAATGAATACAGATTTTGGTCAGGGGAGGGGACTTAGCAAAAGCCTAAAATATTAATGGGTTTGGAATGTGACAGTGGTGATACCTGGAAGGACTTCGGTGAAAAAGGTACTGAAAACCATGAGTGCTTTTAAGAAATGGTTTCTTAGGCTGGGGATTTAGCTCAGCGGCATAAGCGCCTGCCTTGCAAGCAGGCAGTCGTGAGTTTGATCCCTGGTACCGATTAAAAAAAAAAAAGAAAAAGAAAAATGGCTTCTAGGAAGGGAGCATAGCTCAGTAGTTGAGTACTTGACGTGCATTGGGTTAGATTCCCATCACTGCAATAATCAAAAACAACTAAAGCCTCCTTGTTGTAGAATTATTATGGCTTTTGGGATTGCTATGGGTAAGGGTTTAAAGAAAAGTAGGAAGAATCTCACTGGAAACTGGAGGATGTGGTAGTCCTCTAGATTTGATCTTTTCTTGGAAGCAATTTCTCAGATGTTAGCATTTGTCTGCCATCTAGAGAGTCAGCAGTTTTCAAAGTCAGGAGGTCCAGTCTCCTTTTTTGTTTTTTGGGCTTTTTTGTAGTGTAGGCTGACTTAACCTCACTTACATAACTGAAGCTGGCCTCAAACTCACAGAGATCCTCCTGCCTCAGCCTTCTTGAATGCTAGGATTATAGGCGTGTGCCAACACACCTAGCTTTTTTTTTTAAACAGTTCTTTCTTTAGTTTATCTCTCTTTGGCAACCAGTGGTAATCTCAGTACTCAGGAGTCTGAGGCAGGAGGATCACCAGCCTGAACTAAATAGTGAGTTCAAGGCCAAGCTAGACTACAGAGTGAGACCCAGTCTCCAAAAACATAAACAAAAGTCAGAGGTTTAGCTCAGTGTGTAAGTGCCTGCTTGGTAAGTGCAAGGTCCTGAGTTTGATCCCCAGCATCAAAAAAGAAAAAAACCAAAAAACAAAACCGGATAGCACATTCAACTCAGTTTGAAAATCTTGGTGATATCACCCAGTTACATTTTCTACTTCCATATAACTACAGCCAACAATGTTAAACTTTCTCTCACTGATAATGATGCTCCATCTTCCAATTTATCTTTTTTTTTAGTTTTTATTTGCATTTCTTATTTATACATATATATACACATACACTTTTTTTTCCAGCTTCTCACACTAACAAGACAATGTTTATACATGTGTCTGATTTATTTTACTAATGAGTATGTTCTCAAGTTGCATCCATTTACCTATAAAAGTGTCCAGTTTATCCTGCTTTATAACTGAGTAGTACTCCATGGTATAA